AACATCCTAATGAGGAAGACAGCATTCCGTGTACCCTTGTCCGGCCTGAACCCATTTTGTTCTTCTGATATTTCACCTGTGGTTCTGCCACGGATTTGGTTCAGCAAAACATGTAAAATCAGCTTTGTCAGATGACTCATCAAACTATTATTTTCCGATACTGATCACATTTCGTCGCTCCTGCCTTCTTTGGTATTGCGATAAATACAGATTTGATCATCTTAGTAGGAAAGTGTCCTTTATTGTAGATTCTGTTTGCAAGATGCGTTATTTGTTTCACACCAAATTCTCCCATTGCAGTAAACATCTCCGCTGCTATGCCATCTGGCCCAACAGCCTTACCCATTGACATACATTTGAGTGCAGGTGAAATTTCATCTTCTTGCACTGCCACCAACTTTGTTTACGACTGGCTTCTGCCCTCTGTTATCTTGAAATAATTCACTGATGTATTCTTCCCAACGGTGTAGGATTTCCTCATTCTCCATGGTGATGTTTCCATCTTTGTCTTCGATGCAACAAGAAGAGTTTGCACACTTCCTACGGCCTATGACCTGTCATACCTTGTTATGCATGGGTTGGGGGTTTGTCTTCTCAAGACATTCCAATTCCTCACATTGTTTTACATAGAATTCCTCCTTTGCAATTTGACATCTATTCCAGATATCTCTGTCAAGTTCTCTATATCGGTCATTGTTACCTTTTGCTCTTCTTTGCTCTTCCATTAAATCCAAAATTTTGGTTGTCATCCACAACTATTTCTGCAGCGCTTGAGAGTTCCTGCTGGAATCTTTCAAAACACCGATCAAGGTTGTCTGTTTGTTCCCTTTCTTTCAATCCTGTTTCTACCGCTTCTCTAAAGTGCTTGCCTATTTCATTATTTCTTAGACTTGTGGAGTCAAATCTTTTAGGTTGGTTTATACATGCAGACTTTTTAAGTTTAACTCGGATGGAACATACAACCACAACATGGTCTGAGTTGCAGTCAGCACCAGGGTACCCCTTCACTTGAGTGACAGAGTTCCAAAACCTCTTGTCGATAGTGACAAAATCAATCTGATTCTTTGTCTTGTGGTCTTTCCCACGTCCATCTTCTCCTTGGATGATGTTGGAACCATGTGTTGGTAATGACCTGGCCTTTCTGCTCACACCATTCTACCCACGTGTCACCACGTTCGTTTCTCGTACCAAGTCCAACTATGTCCTCTACCTCCCTTCCCCAACAATAGCGTTCATGTCGCCCATTACAATTTGTATCTCTTGAGATTTACACCGCTCCATTGCTCTATCCAAGTCCGCATAGAACTTTTCCAAAGTTTCTTCTGAACTAGTGCTAGTTGGAGCATACACCTGGATGATATTCATGTTGAAGGGCTTTGCCTGAAGCTTCACCATGATGACCCGGTCTGATATGGCCCAATATCCAAGCATTGTAGCAGTAGCTGTTGGACCCAAAAGGATCCCTATTCCGCCCATGTGAAGTTTCTCATCTCCGGAATACACATAAGTTACATCGCTCGACTTGATTTTACCAGATTTGATCCACCTTACTTCGCTACATCCCATTTTGGTGACATTTTCACTGGATTAAGTTTCATGCATTACTGCACAGGAGACAATTAAAGGGGTCGGGTGAAATCTGACTTGCGCCAACTGTTCAGGGCTGGATAAGAATGAGACAATTTAAAAGAACACAACCATTGTCTTGGTTCTGGTCATGGAATGCATAATCAGTTCAGATTTGTGGATCTTGCTGGCAAGAGTTTCAGTAGGCAAATCTGGATGACCTCTAAAGAATAACTCTTGAAATTGACATTCTCAGACAAGACAGGGAGGTGATTCGCCGTGCTGTTGAAGGAATGATGTGTCGAGCCCAGCTGTGCATTGAACGAGATGGTGGCCACGTTGAGGACTAAGACACCTTGGAATTTAATAGCCTTTTTAATTTAATTTAATTTAAATGTTTTAAATAAACACGAAGTTTAAAAGCCAATGAAATCCTGTTTTGTCTCTTTGTTAGACAATGGTTGTGTTCTTTTCAATTGTTTCTTTCTTATCCATGTTATCCAGCCCTGACCAGTTGGCGCAAGTCAGATTTCACCCGACCCGTTTAATTGTCGTCTGTGCAGTCATGCATAAAAACTAATCCAGTGAAAAGAAACAAAAGAAGTAGGAAGAGTTACTCTAACAGTACATATAAAAATATCTTATCTATATAAAAACTATGGCCTGTTTTAAAAGTGTATAGTTTTTTTTGACTCGCACTGTATTAATCCAGAGATTGAGGAATATGTTTGGAGTAATGGGTTTAGCTCTAAGCTGGTTTCAATCCTATCTTAAAGATCGTCATCAGATTGTACAGGTACTCGGACACACGTCAGCAGAGACTGGAGTTCCTCATGGAGTTCCCCAGGGCTCTGTCCTCGGTCCAGTACTTTTCACTCTTACACCTCCCCACTAGGACACATTGCTCAACAACATGACCTTCAATCACACTTTTATGCTGATGAAACACAGTTATACACCGCATTCTGTCCAAAAACCAACACTGACTGCCAACATGCACTTCATTCATTATCTTCTTGCCTACACGATGTTCAGAACTGGATGGCTGCAAATTTTCTAAAATTCAACCCCAACAAAACCAAATTTCTCATTATCTCTTCTCCACAACTCAGGCATAAAATTGAAATACAAAACGTACAGGTAGGGGATAGGCCTACTCTGATTGCACCCAGTCCACGTTGATGCAACCTGGGTGTCATGTTTGACCAGTACATGAATTTGGAAATGCACATCTCCAACATTTGCCAGACATCATACATGCACCTACGGCGCATTGCTGCGATTAGGCGGATGCTTACAACTCAGGCAGCAGAGCAACTCATACACGCATTCATCATTTCTAGAATCGATTTCTGTAATAGTCTACTATATGGTCTTTCTCAGAACACACCCAATCACTTACAGTTGGTACAGAATGCTGCTGCACCTTTGCTTACTGGTCAAAAGAAATCAGCTCATATCACCCCCATACTCTACAGACTTCACTGAACACAGAATACAATACAAGATCATTCTCCTCACATTCAAAGCACTTTAAGGTTTTGCCCCACCCTACGTACACAACCTACTACAGCTTTGTACTGTTAGTCCGGGCTTGAGGTCATCTGGCAGTCTCATTTCAATTTTCACTTTTGAGTTTGGTTTACACATTTGGAAAATTTGCCGGGTTTACCTAAGATCAACCGTAGTACCATCGGAAAGGATATGATAGATTATCTTCATTTCACAGGTGATTTGATGTAATGAGCAAACATGTAGCTTGTAAAAATCGACATTATTTGAGTAAACCCCTTTGAAAGCTTCGCGCACAAATAGACTGGTCTCCAGTGCCCTCTATGATCGTACTTAATTGCATTTCAGAGGCGGGAACCAGTCAGTTGTAAATCGTTTCAGTTAAATGTATACATTTTCAACACATCAAAAGTACAGTCCAGAGATTACAAACGGAGCGCGCGTGGCATGGCTAGCCATGTTTTATGTTTACGGGTCAGATTCAGGGTCCGTGTACGTGTACAGTGTACGTGCACAATAACGTTACATTCATCATAAAAACATATAACGTGAGACCTTATTTTTCTCATTCAAACGGTTTTCGACTTGAATGATATTTATACATCGCACTTTCCGTGGCATCCTTTACCATTTGTCAGTTAACACAAGTTTACAGTTACTCGGCAAAACTGAAAAATTATCCTCTAAACTGCTAAATGAGCGGCTGAAACATACGTGAGTGATGCGCGCGCAATGTTACAGCACTGTATTCAAGGCTAGCAAACTCCATCCATATGGAGTTTGTGCAGACGAGATACATTTTGTGATAAAACGCTCACATTTTCAAACAAGTTTGTGTATTTTCCTTATGTACAAAGTCAGACATGTATCCCCCCCCCCCAAAAAAAAAGTACCCTCAAAGTACCTCTTTTTCACAGCTTTTTTAAAAGTACATCGTAAATATTTATAAATAATTGATGAATACATTAGTTTTCAACAACCAACAATTTTCCAATCGGACTTCATCTACATGTATGGTTCAACATTGCGTCTTGACTTCCAGATTCTGACGTTTCAGCGGGCGCTTTCTATCGTGTCTTCGGTAACCCGATGTTGTATGAGAAAAACATAGCAGATATTGACTATTGCTTCATCATGGGTCTCTTGATCACATGGTCAGGGGTTCTAATCCACCTACTGGCCATGTTATGTTCTTAGGAAAGCCACTTCATCCCTACTGATCTTTGGTGTATCTACATTAGCTGGGGAGTAACCTGGTACAATGGAAATTGGATTCCATCAAGGGGAAATAGAAATATTCTCATTCTATTCATACCAAGGAAAAAAGGAAATGGTCTCGTAGTTTGATCAGACTTACTGGTTTGTAACCTTCCAAAAAGCACACTATCTTTAATAAGGTGTTTCACGGTAATATGCGCCATCTTGTTCGCTGGGCAAAACGAACACGCGTTGCTAGACGCGGGTGCATTTTGGAATGACCGCATGATGACTTGGAAGCGCCGAAGCTTGCCAATGACGATGCGTACACAGCAAGGTGTGTAAAATTGCCCCGCGGGCAAGATGGCGCACATTACCGTGAAACACCTTATTGGCCTGCGTAATAGAATATTCCCATGACATGCTCCTTGGTTGTTCTCTTTACTTTTATTTTCAAGCCTGTTATTTTCAAGGTTGTTTCAGTGCTTGTTTTGATGTTGCAACAAATTCTCATGATGAGTAAAACAGTTATGTCATTAAACATGTAGGTGTGTGTGGCTAACTGCAGTGACAACACAACAACAGTGTCCTCAGTTGTCAGAAAACAGTGTGGGCTTTGTAAACATTGAAAAAAAAACTTCACAAGTATTTCAGAGGAAGAAACATTTGCAAAAAAAAAAAATTTGATGTAAAATTGATTTCCTATAGATTCTAAGGAGGCCTACCTTAGGTTTGTCTGGATCCCTGGAGTAAGCAGTCCACACATTAGTAAGTAGCCCTTCTGCCTTGGCCTCCTGCATCTCAGACATGTAAATGTTGTCTATGCTTGACTGTCGGCAGCCGAAGACCAGCGTCATGTCACCAAGCCTCTCCAAGTCCTGACTGGTGCCCTTTCTCTGCGCCAACCTCAGCATGTCAAACCGGCGTTGTTGCCAGAAACTGCGGAATGGCGCTATGCCTGCTCCAGGGCCTATGAGGATCATTGGGGCCACCTTGTCCTCAGGCATGTGGAACTTGGTGGCCCTAGAACATGAACAGTATTATTCCAGAATCAGAAAACAACTCAAGACAACACAGGAGGCCATTTTTTTGGGTGATGGGGCTGATCCCCCATCACCCTTTGGTTAGCTACAACTTCTTAAGTTTGTGTGTGTGTTTTTTCCAGTACAATAATTCTCGCGAATTTCCTTCTCAACAGTACACAGCATGTACTTGAAACTTTGAACCAATACATGACCCCAATCCGGAGGTGTGCATATTACTGTGACGCAGGCACAGATTAAGTGTTTCGGGAAAAAAATTGGATTCTAGACGCTATGGCTAGCCTATAGTCAAGGCACGTGTGTCTACCCGGACGCGTGGCACCCCAGATTCTGGCATAAAAAAAAAACAGTGCGAGTGGCGAAGCCACGAGCACCTTTAACATCTCGTGGAGCTAATCATTATTAATTTTTTTCTAAGTAATATGAATCATACAGTAATATAGAATCAAATGTAGGCCACATTTTTTTTCATTTGGGGACAAAGCTAGTTTGAAGGGAGGGGGGGGGGGGAAATGACATGTCCCCCACCGATCGACGCCCATAGTTGGCACCGTGCTTCGGAACGACAGACTTTCAACACGTAAATTGTATACGTAGGGCCTACGTGTAAGCCTACATGCTGTACAGCATCAGTTGGTAAAATTTAAAATTCTGAGAGAGACCCTCAAACTTTTAAAAAACTTTTTTTTTGCATTTGGGTGTATATGTGGGTAGGCCTATTTATGTGTTTCATGGCACACTGCAGTATTTTCATAGGCCCCCAAATTTTTCATATGCCCTAGGCACAGTGCCCACTGTGCCTCCCTAGGCACAGTGCCTACTGTGCCCATTGGATAATGCGGCCCTGTTGTGATGTCATAATGACGTCATCAGGTAAATTACAAGTGATTTTAGTTTAAATTATTTTTTTTCATTCATAACTCATCATGAACAAAATGAATAATCATGTTTAGATTTTTTTCCAATAATATGGAAGCAAATTAAATGACAACATTTAGGTACAAAGTGAATCAAAATTCTTTTGTACCAACCTATGGACAGACAAAGGTACGATCAAGGCACTGTGACATGGACATAGGACACAAACTAGTGTGAGAGAAGGCCTAACTATTAGTTCACAACTCACACCTTCATTTATGAATACAAGTCAAGGAACCAAGCTTTAGTCGAGGAGCCAGGACAGATACAGAGTGTAATGATTTATAGAGAATCGTCTAAACTGTTCCAGTATGAGATGCCTCGATGAACAACACTCTTTTTTTGACACTGACGATCTGTAAAATGGACGAACAAATTTCTCCAAGGGCTACTTCAAGTGTTTCATGTATATACATGAATGTTAGCCTAACAATTAAAACAGAGAGGGATTGCATTATTCATCCATGAATTTTCCCATACTAAGATTGTATAAGTCATTACACTGTAATAGATTAAATTTTTACACCCTCTTTTGTTAGCGCAAGATGGAGTTACTGCCAACTCCTTTCTTGCAAACGGCACATGGCCACTTTGTAGGGTCAGTTTTCGGTTGGACACCATGCCTACTGCAGATGATCTTTGTTTTAGACATGTTGACAAAGAGACCCTTTGATTCAAGATTTGACTTGCAGACAGAGAGAGTTTTTGAGCTCCTCGATGGACTCTGCCGTTATCACCAGGTCATCAGCAAACAGCAGTTTCCAGGGTCTTGCGGCAAGCAAGAAATCAGTTCTGCAACCAATACCGAAAACCCAACAACTTCCTATCGGTATCACAGTCAATGCTGCCATCACCCCAGCCACCGTCCCATTTCAAAGAAGATTCAACTTTGGGAAAGCGAACTGGCCTGGATTCCAAGAAGAACTTGAAAACGTGGGTGATCACCCACCTCCCAGTGGACCCCAAGAACTATGACAAGTTCACCAAACTTGTGCGCAAGGCAGCATGAAATAACATCCTACGAGGCTGCCAAACAGCGAACATTCTGGGACTGAACAATACCAGCAGCTCTACCAATCCGACTCCTTTGCAGAAAACACCATCGAAGCAGGCGAGTATCAGAATGTTCACAAAGGTGGTGGCAAACCCTGATAGAGACAACTGATATGGCGAAGAAGAGCAAGAAGGCATTAAGTCTCATATGGAAGATCAGCAATGATCCATCAACACCAACACTGCAGCTGTATTCCACTACCGCCAACCAAGTTGTGCATCAACTGCTGCTCAATGGGAAAGCCACCACCAAACAGCCAAGACCAAAGGATTGCGCAAAGTACTCCCAAACCACTGGACTTACTAAGCCGTTCACCATGGAAGAGGTCAACACAAGCATCAACACCCTAAATATAGGCAAAGCCATTGGACTGGATGACAGTTTCACTGAAGAGATCAAGCACTTTGGACCTCTAACGCGAAAATGGATTCTTGATCTGATGAAGAAGAACATTCCCAAGACCTGGAGAAAGACCAGAGTCGTTGCTCTTCTAAAACCGGCAAAGACGCAGCACAAGCAAAGAGTTTTTGTCCGACATCTCCTCTCTGCCACCCATACAAGCTGTTTGAGCGTCTGTTTCTCAACAAACTTGCCCCAGTTGCTGAACCACGAATCATCCCAGAACGAGCTGGTTTTTGTCCTGGCAAATCAACAACAAGCAAACTTCTGATCCTCGCTCAACACATCGAGGAAAGACTAATAACTGGTGCTGTCTTCGGTGATCTGTCTGCCATGTACAACACTGTGAACCACTGCCTTCTCCTGAAAAAGATCTTGGAGCTTACAGAAGACCTGGATTTCATGGACCTTGTTGGCGCACCCTCTTGAAAAACAGGCATTTCTTTGTCCTCAACAACAAGAAAAGCCACTGGCAAAGACAGAAACCTCAAGGTAGCATGCTGGCTCCATTACTGTATAACATCTATACAAATGACCAGCCGCGAAACCAGAACACGAGCGGTTCATCTACGTTGACGACCTCTGCATAACATCTCAAGAGAACATGTTTGAAGCAGTAGAAGGAAGCCTAACTCTGGATGATCTCACCACCTACTACGAGCAAAACCACCTACGTGCCAATCCTTCGAAGACACAAGTCTGCTCGTTCCATCTCAGGAATTGCGAAGCCAACTGACCTCTTAACATCACTGCACCCACCCAGCCTACCTTGGAGTGACTTGAAATCGCACCATCTCCTTTAGACAGCACGTCAACAACACCAAAGCAACAGTCACTACCTGGTAACAGGTTGCTTCAAACCAACCAATACCAGCAATATGTACCTCCTCACTGGTATTGCTCCACCTGAAATCAGAAGGGAAGTTACCAGTTGAGTTGAGATGACCAAGACCATCAGCGATGAACGCCATCTCCTTCATGGACCCCAACCAAATCAAAGACTGAAGTGTAGGAGGAGCTTTCTTAGTCATGTCGAAGCCTTGACAACACCTCAGGAAGAAAGAAGAATCAACCTCTGGAGAGAAAGAGTCAAAAACAACCCTCCTCCAACAGACATGAAAATCCCTCCAGCTGAAAACCTCTCTCGTCGACTTGCGTCGACGTGCAAATGGAAAACGATCATTTGATGCTTTGAAGATATGAAAAGAAGAATCATCTCAGGAAAAGTGATCTGGTCACTTTTCCTGGGCAAAATTTGGCTAGTAAAAGTAACCACTGGACTTGGGAAAAGTAACGGAGAGGACACTTTTGTGCTGTTTGCACTGGACTTAAAATGGGAAAACTACTGATCGTCTCGGTGAGCTTTACCAAAGAAAGTCCAATTTGAACATGGCTTCACTTAGTCACTGTCATTTGAGAATTAGATTGGTAATACATATCTCACTGACTGACTGACTGGTCTGGTAGCAGCTTTAAGAGGCTTGACTACTCATGTTTGTCTAATGTAACATGAGAAAAAGTGGTGGGTAGCCGTATTAGTCAGATAATTGCAGAAGTAAAAAAACGAATGTAGCACTTTAATGACTAACTAAAGAAAAGAAAAATAATATACGCAAACAAAGGTCGGAAAACATGGGCATTAGTCTTGCACTACTTTTTTCATGTACTTTTATGATACATGTATGTATGTGTAGGCATGTGTCATGTTTCCATGAGAATGGCGCAAGTGGATTGTTCATTTCTGTCACATTATCACATTTGTTTCTGAGCCTATTGCCTGTGTAGCTACTTCATTCACTTATGGGCTATAACGTCTGCACATGCGCAGTGTGAGACATCCACTAGTCTTCGCATGTTGGCAACATTTTACCAACATATGCTGGCTTGAAGGTGGCACAAATGTCAAAAAAAGATCTACTATATGAGTTTTCCCATTGTTATACCCCGCAGATATATACTCATATATATAAGTTTCCAATAAAACTCACCATAATTATAGTCAACCGGGCTATATTTTTTTTAAAGGAATATTTGTTGCTTTTTTCTTTGCCATGAAAATTGACCGTGAATCATATTGCATGAGGTACAAATCAATAATTATGAATAGAAAAAAATATAGCTCCCTATTAATCACATGGAAGGGAATATTGACATTGCTGGCTTCAATTCCATAAGTCTCACTTATTCCTAAAAACTCAGACTTTTAAGAAAAACAAATAAATATTGTAATCAAAGAAAATCACTGCTTGAAAAAAGACTACTACGTCATTTGAATATGGGGCATCAACAAACCTATTGAAACAAAAATTAGAGTCAGAAAAGACTCCATATGTCATGCCGCATTTAAGCCTTATTAAGGCTGATGGCGTCGAGTGGGATACTTGGGCACAATAGACAAACTAAGTGACAGGCACAAACATACCCATTATCACTACACTGGTTTTTTTTTTTTTGGCAATTGGTTAATTCCAGATAAGAGTTGCGAACTCATGAATTTTCAAAGTACATTTTCTACAAGTAAATCAGTTTTTCTTGGAAAGCAGACAGACCAAGCTTTCAGAAACAGTTTTTGCTTTTCTTCTACTACACTTGGATTTATTTTTTATCAAGGATTGAAGTTTCGAGAAAACTGTGATGTGAAGTTGTGATAGAAATTTGAGTTCCCCTCTGTTACAGTTTGGTTGACTGTGAAGTCTCATGCCGTCCCTATCCACCACTATAGATTTTTAAACCAAAAAATGAAACATTGACAGTCTTGCACATTTTGAAAAAACAAAGTTGCAATGTCCCGTCTGTCACAAAAAAACATGAAAAAGTTGTGTATTTTTTTACATGAAAGATCTTTTTGGTTCAAACTTGAATTCCTATGTTCTACCAAGGTGACCTCACCTAGAATTAAATTACAAATATTATTTGAAGTATAGTTGATCTGATATTTCATCTCAAACTCTGACCCGTCTGTCACATTTTGCCCATTCGTTAAATACTTTTGTCCCGTCTGTCACATTTTTTCAATCACCTCTAGGTTAAAAAAAAGTTGAACATACAATTGTTTGTAGACTCTTCTGATTATTAATATACTACATATCTTTAAAAATAATAAATGCTTGTGCCTACATTTATTTAGCATATAAATATGTCCCTTCTGTCACGTCCCGTCTGTCCCAATATTAATGAGCCTGGTGTTTCCAAATTTATGTTTTAAATTAAGTTTTAAATTAAGTTAAGTGTTCACTGATTATGGGCATAAAAGTGATTAACTTTAACAGAAAAAAAGTATTAAATTTCCCAGGGGAACAGATAGCATTTTCCAACGAAAGTCATTTTCAAAATATGGAGTGTAATTTCCGTCCCGTCCATCACGCTGATTTCACTTTGTCACTATACAACCACTGAATCCTCTAGTTTCATGGCTTGTTTTTTAATATGAAATATAGAGTGTTTACTTGACTTTATACATAACTAACGTGGTTACACCTTACATGGTTGTGGCAGGCCTTTGAATAAAGAAGGTAGTGTAAATTTGTCCTGTCTGTCATGCCGGGAATTTACCGATTCTAAATTAAGTAAATAGAATTTTGTGTTGTGTCAGACCAGCTCTAATGAGCTTGCCTTGTCTTGGTCTCAGATGTATATGACCTGCAAATATATCCTGTTCAAAATCTCCACAATGTGTTTAACGAATATGTTGTTTGTAAGAGTGATCAAATCATGTCACAATTAATTCACGTCACACAAAATAAAACTCAAATTGTGAAAAATACAAATTCATGGGGGCAGGGGGTTGTTGCCTTCAACGTGAAAAGAAGTTAAAAATGAACACGATGGATTTGCCAATGTTGCATCTCTCAAAATTGTTAAATAGTTTTCAAAGAATGTTGCGTGTCATTTCATTTTAATATCTAAATTTGAATGAAATCATAAATGAAGAAAAAAAATAGCAGCTTACTTTCTGATGAAGACAGGAACTATGTTGCTCTCTGCAATTGAGCCCAACCAGTTGGAGCATACTCCATAACGTGTAGCATCGTTGTCTGATACATCAAAAAGAAGAAGTGTGGGAACAAAAACGTAAATTATAAAGTTGAGGAGGGATGTGACAATTTGGTGTTTAGTTGTTTTTAAATGCTGAATGACACAAGAACAGACACAAGAGTTGTGATCAAGTTGTTACAAGTCAACATGAGACACATACATGTGACTTGTAATATGACTTTTGATAACTTTGATTACAGCTGTGGCAACACTGTAAAGATGATGAAACAAAGGAAATTGGGGGGGGGGGGGGATAAAGCAGGAAAAGTACAAAAGGAGAAATAGTCTGAAGGAGACAGGACAGCAGGAGTAATAAATGAATGTGAAAGAAAGAAAGAAATTGGGCCCCCACAAAACTTGTTCCACTTACTTTGTGTCTGGTAGCAAACAACAGCAATGGTCAGATGAATTTCCCCTGGGCTGATACTGGGACTGGAGCTAATGGAGTAATAGCGAGGCTTCAGCAATGGCAGTTGGGTTAGCAACAGGGCAGCTGGTACCCTCAGTGATGGGAACCGGTCAAACACATCCACCAGAGTTGGGTACTGGCTGTAGATCCAGTTATCGTATTTGTTACCGCCCTGAAGACATCAAGAAAATCCTGTTTTTGGCTTGTCTGGAACCTTTCCAGAAAATTAACCCAAATCTGAAGATATTTGGTAGTACATGAGGGGCCCAAGGGCGGATCCAGGGGGGGGGGGGCCAAAGGGGGCCATGGCCCCCCCCAAAACGAAACCAATTTTTTTTTTTTTTATGTGACAATGCAATAAAGGCAGGCAATGAGTACACCACCATCTTTTCCTCAAAAAACATTGGTTAAAGTGGTCAGAAATTGCCTCAGATCGCACCACAGAGCATCTAAAATCCCAAAATTGTGTTCTGGATCCGCCCTTGGAGGGGCCGATGCTTACCTGCTTATTCCTACATTTGCATTATTCCTTATAGGCCATATGCTTTATCCGCTAGATTTTACATCTACCACAGAGCCCTCTGGGCCAATACACAACAATCAAGATGCCAAGCGGCAAATCGTCCTCTTTTCTGAAAGCGAAATTACAAGAAATCCCACGCCCAACGTCGGGTAGGAGGGAGAATTAGAAGGTAAGTATTGGCCCCTCGTGGACTACCAAATCACTTCAGATTTGGGGTAGTCCACTTCGGGCCCTCTCTTACCTGCTAATTCCTACATTTGCATAGAATACTGAAAGGAGGAGGGTATAGGCAAGAATTTCATTGGAACCTCAGTGAAAAGACCACCGAATGTATCGGCCCATCGTGCACACTATTAGAAACATGAACATGTCTTCCATGGCCGGTCGGGTCTACCCCCTTGTCATGGTCTTTCTCGTAAGTCGAGAGCATCGAAGTCGTGATGACTGCACGGCTCATCTGCCCCTCAGCCTGCAAGACATCTTTTAGGTTGCATGAGACAAGGTGGAAGCTGTCTTCCAGGCCGCTGCTTGCAATATCTCGTGCATAGAAACCCCTTTGAGAAAGGCCCAAGACATTGCAGTGGGCATATACCAGACCAGTTGATTTAGTTGGCCAACCTGAGATAGATGTTTGAATGGCCCTAACCACCCAACGAGAAACAGTATCCCGGGTGGCTGATCTGTGAGGCGATGTTGTTGTAATAAACAGCTAGGAAATGGAACCTTGGAGAGTTTTGTCGCGAGCAAGGTACCATTTGAGCGCCCGAACAGAACACCAAAACTTGTCTTCCACAACCGTCGAGACAGTCTTTATCTGCAGAACAAAGATGTCCGGAGGGGGGGGGGAACCCAAGGCTGACTGGTTTTTGGTCAGAAAACCTTGGCTAGGTATCAGTCGGACACTATGTGGCTCCCATCTGACGTGTCCATCAGCAACTGTAAGTGCATGGAGCTCACTTCACCTTCTGGTTGTGGCTGCAGTTAGAAGAAAAACCGTGGCTCCCATCTGATTTGTCCATCAGCAATTGTAAGTGCATGGAGCACACTTCGCCTTCTGGCTGTGGCCGCAGCTAGAAGAAAAACCGTCTTCACAGTCAGGTTCATCAGAAAAGCCCAAAGTGGCTCAAATGGATGCTTAGCTAACACTTGCAGGACCTGACCCAGATCCCAAGAGGGCACCAGAGGGCGTGCCTTTAAGAAGTTGAGATGGTGCATTACTAGTCGAAACAGTTGAACCATCATGATATCCCTTATGGATTGCAGCAATCGCCGAGTGATAACCCTTAATAGTTGCCTACGAACAGGTCTTGCGAAAAGAGAACCATTAGAAAGTCCCCTATGGCGGTAAGAGGTGCAGAGCAGGGATCAGCAGCTTCCCTTCTGCACCATCTACGATAATGTTGTACTCTGCCATTGTATGTCCGACATGTGTACTCCCTTCGGTCCTTGGCTGCAAGGGTTGCAGCATTTGCTGAAAGGCCTGTTGTTCGGAGGGAAGATTCGACAAAGGCCAGCAGGTTAGATGGAGTTTCTCTGGGTCTGGGTGAAGAAACCCCGATCGGGGTTGACTCAGGAGGATGGTCCGCTGTGGCAACAGGATTGGAGGGTGTATCAGTAGGCGGGTGAGCCTTTGAAACCATGGTTGTCTTGGCCAAAAAGGGGGCGATCAGCAGAAGCTTGCACTGTTCCATCTCCACTTTTGCTATCACACGTGGGAGGATCTCCACTTTTGCTATCACACATGGGAGGAGAGAGATTAGGGGGAACGCATAAGCAAACATGTTCCCCCAACTCAGTGAAAGTGCATCCATTGCCCAAGCTTGCGGGTCAGGAACCCGGCTGCAATACACTGGGAGCTAATTGTTCAGGGCTGAGGCGAATAGGTCTATGTGGGGCCTGTCGAGTGTTAAGAAGATGCCCTGTACCACTGTAGTGTGGAGCATCCACTCTGTGGGGAGGACTTTGCCTCTGGACAGGGCATCGGCCATGACATTCAGCCTGCCTGCCAAAGTGTACTGCCATCAAAGTTGTGTTGTTGGAAATGCTCCATTGGAGGAGTTGCCATGTGTACATGCATAAGTGGCTGCCCTCTTGTCGGTTGATGTAGGAGACGACAGTCGAGTTGTCTGAACGAACCCAAACAACCTTTCCCACAGTCTCTCTTTGGAAATAGATCAGAGCTGTTTCCACAGCCTGTGGTTCCAGGACATTGATATGGAGAGCCCATTCTACTGGAGACCAAGTACCAGCGACTGAATCCTCTCCTATGTGTGCTCCCCAGACGTCGTTTGATGATCTGTTGTAAGTGTCAATGTCGGTTGGGGAAGAGGACACCTTCGACCGGATGAAAGATTGTGGGGGTTGCTCCACCACATGATATGATGGTGGACCAGGGGGAGCACTGGCACAAGCTTGGACAGTCGGTGGTGTTTTGGCCAGGACATATTACGTAACCATCTCACTTCCACGGTCGACGCCTTGAAACTGAGATACCCTGATGCTGGATTTGTGATTCTGGGAGATTTAAACAGAACTGATATTCAACCCGTTTGCAGAGCACACAGCCTCAAGCAAGTAGTGCGTCAATCGACCAGGGGTGATGCTACACTGGATCTTATCATGACCAATATCAACAAGCACTATCAACATCCGGTCGTTCATTCACCAATGGGACGGAGTGACCATAACTGTGTAGTGTGGGCTCCACTTGCTAAAACTGCACAACTCAACCGTATCCAAAGGCGTGTCATTAGGCCTTTGCCCAGATATGGTCTACAGCAATTTGGCCAATGGATTACTTCTCACGACTGGGAGGAAGTGTCTCGCTCACCAGATACAAACTCCAAAGCCACAGCTTTCTATCAGACTCTCAATGTAGCCTTAGACAAGTATTTTTCCACAAAGACAATCACATTACACAGTAAGGATAAGCCATGGATTAGCCCAGCCATCAAGTCATTAATAGTTAAACGCCAGCAAGTATTTTCTACACAGGGAAAATCATTTCAATGGAGGTTTTACAAGAATTTACTGCAAAAAGAGATTGGTAAGGCAAAACGATTCTATTATTCCGATAGACTTCAGCATCTCAAGTCATCCGACCCTGCAAAGTGGCATCGTGGCATCCAACTGTTAGCAAATCGCCTTAAACCACAACTCACACTTACTGTTCCAGGTGTATCAATTAATGATGACATGGCTATTGCAGAAAGAATTAACTTGAATTTTGCAAATACAGCTCAAAGCAGGCCTTCTATAAACAGGAATGATTTGCCGACATTTCTCCCAGCTAATCAACCACTTCATGTCTATGAGTGGGAAATGTATCATGAACTGCGGAAAATCAACATCACCAAATCAGCTGGACCAGACAATATTCCTAATAAGATCATTAAAGAATTTGCATGTGAATTGAGTTTCCCAATCACAGATATTTTAAATTCCTCTCTTAAGGAAGGAGTGGTCCCACAGGTTTGGAAAGATGCTATTATTGCACCAATCCCAAAAGAGCTCCCTGCTTCAATTGATAAGCTGAGACCCATATCACTTACATCACAATTTTTTAAAATTGTTGAAACTTTCATATCAAGATGGCTGCTCCATGATATTGCTGGAAATCTTGATCAACATCAGTATGGTAGCCTTGGCGGGTCATCCACAACACATTGTTTAGTTGATCTGCTGAATGTCTTTTATAAAGGTAGTAATCAACCCAAAACAACAGGCACTCTAGTGTTAACAGATTTTTCTAAAGCATTCGACTGCATTGATCATACAATCGCTGTGACTAAACTGATCTCCCTTGCAGTTAGATCTGAAATTGTTCCATGGATCATTAGCTTTCTTTCTTGCAGGCGTCAGAGGGTTCGTTATCAATCAGCCATTTCTGATTGGGAACACCTTACATGTGGAGTTCCTCAAGGGACAAAACTTGGTCCAATTATTTTTTTTGCCACCATTGACGATGCCTGCGCTGACTCCGTTGGTCACAAATGGAAATATGTCGATGACCTCAGCTTAGGTGAGATCAGATCAGTCAATAGCCATTCTTTTATGCAAAATAACATGGATGATTTGTTTCACTGGTCTCAGGCTAACAAACTTACGCTTAATCCATCTAAGTGTAAAACTATGCAATTTCACTTTGGGAAAAATCCCCCCGACCCACCTTCTTTAAAGATTGGTGATAACATAGTTGATGTTGTAGCACAAACAAAGTTGTTAGGAGTTTGGATTCAGAGTGACCTTAAATGGAGCACCCACGTCCAAGAAATGATCTCTAAAAGTAGTAGACGCCTCCACATCCTTAGCTGTTTAAAAAGGTTTGGTGTTCCCAGAAACGATCTTGTAACAATATTTACTACTTATGTTCGTCCTGTCTTAGAATACGCTGCCCCTGTGTGGCACTCTGGTCTAACATCAAATCAAACATCATATATTGAAGCAATCCAAAAACGGGCATTTAAGATAATCTTGGATCAGGATCACTCCACTTATGATCATGCATTGTCTAGATTTAGTATGAAAACCTTGGCTAACAGGAGGGAAGATCTTTGTTTACAATTTGCCAAATCTTGTGTTGCTTCTGATCGTTTTAAGAGTTGGTTCCCCCTAAACAGTAGAGTTCATGCCATGGAACTAAGACAAAG